GTGAAAGCTGAATTTGAAACCTTGGACGATTAACAACCCTCCAAATTCCACCTCCTAATCCTCTGGCTTACAGGTGTTTCCACTCCAAAACTTTCACTTGGCATAGTACAAATAATATGTAATTTCATTTATAAAATCATAATTTTTTTTTCATTTTTTTCAGCCTACGAATCAGGATTGCAGTCCCATTCTTGTGTGTTTACAATTTTTCCTATTTTTGTCCTTTCTTTTATCCACAGAAAAACCTCTCACATTTTCATTCACTTCCTCTCTCTCATTTCATTTTAGCTCCATTACATCATCTCTTTATAAACCACCCATTCTTCATCGGGCCTGGGGATTCTGCAACAAGCAACAGTTTCGACCATCACCAACGTCGTCTCTTCACATTCACTACTCACAGAAACTATCGCCGTCCACAAACGCGACCCTATTTCCTTCGCTCAGAAGCCAATCGCTAATCGACATTTCGGGAGTCGCCACTAAATTTATACCATTCACTTGGTCAGTGCCTAACAGGTCTTGCTTGGCAAGCCATCAGATTCGACAGATCCCAAACACCACACATTTGTACTATTTGCCAGCTATTTAGATACGCCATCTCAAGTAAGCCATAAACTATTTAGTTACCCAATTTGCTCACTTAGCTAATACACCACGCCATACTATGATGCACCATACAATAATTATCTAACCAATAAGAATTTTTACTGTACTTGGGAACTAAATTTGAATTTGTGAGGTCCCCGCATAAGCAGAAAACATCCTCCCAAAATTTTCAGCCTCCTAGCTCTTTTTGCTTCGAGATAATAATTTTACCCACTATACACAGAGTAAAAATTTTTATGAGATAATTGTTTACGTATGTGGATCGCTGTGTGGCGTAGTGCTCTGAGCGTACACGCACTGCAGTGAAGCAAAATCAAGTTTATAACTTACTGACAATGGAACGTGCAAACAGCAAATAAACAGCACGAAGTGTGGCGCTTAGAATCTATCGAGTCTGTGAGCTTGCCGAGCAAGAGTCGTTATAACAGAGCATGGTTGATGAGGGCCAGGAGTATATCAGATGAGGTCGAGTTCTTGAAGGGTCCGTCGGGGAGACTGAGAGCCGTCGTCCCGGAGAAGGAGAAAACTGAGACCAGGAAGAATGGTGGGGAGGTTTAGAAAGGGTGTAGGAACCGCCCCAAAAAAAGATGTGATAGGGTTAGGCCCGTTACGTGACCCTTGACTGCAGCAGCGATGGACAGGAGAGAAACACCAGCAGTTTATTCCTTTAATAAACACTTCACTCCAGAGAAGACGTCGAATAAGATGACGCGTCAAATGGTGAACAGGACGATGCGTAGGACAATGAATCGAGGCACCGCACAAGCTGTGCAACAGAACGCCGGCGGTGGGGAGACAAGACGATAGAGGTGTTGGACGTGAAGCTGGAGCGGCGCCGTTGATTGACGATTCCTGGTAACTAACTAACTGACTGACTGAGGGTGTGGATCTAGGAAGGGTTTATATAGGGAGAATTAGTGAAGGGAAAAGAAGGGCAAGTTAGTTAATGAGCAGGAAGGTAGATAGTATAGAAACATTTAGAATTTGGTGGAATTGTTAGAAGTTAGTAAAACGGGGAAGTAGGTCGAAGTGCTAGGAATTAGTGGGAGGAGGGGAATGGGTAATTATAGGGTTACAATAGTTTTTTGGGGGAATTGAAAATGTGAAAATGATAATTAAGGTGAAGTGAAGTGTGAAAAGGGAAAGTGAGAATAAGGGTTTTTAAGGGGGTTAAAAAAGAGGGAATGAAAGGAAAAATAAGGAAGTAAAATGGCTGGGAATGCAAGCGCATTCCAAAACAGGAGTAGAACGGAATAAAGGGAACGAATGTATAATTAGGTTCTTACGGGCGTAAAAAAAAAGAGGAGAAAGGAAAATGCCGAAAACTGTAAACGCGCAGGAATGCAACTTGCATTCTGAGTTATAGGGTGAAAGGCGGAAAAGAAGAAAAAAAATATTATATAATTTTATAATAAGAAAAGTAAACTTTACAATAGTACCCAGATGTAAGGGAAGGCTGAATTTAAACTTGTGAGCACTTGGGCAGAGAATATTACAGTAAAATTTCAGCTTCCAGCTTTTCTGCCTTTCAAGATAATAATTTTTTTCGCCAAAACTTCTATTGGGTCATATGTGGTACATTCTGGTGCGTAAAAGCCGAATTTAAATTTACGAAGTCATACTTTGACAAGGACATTATCCTACAACTTCAGCTTTCCAACTTTTTTTGTTTCCGAGATAATAATTTTTCTCATCAAGACCTTCACGGGGTCATACGCGGTAGCCAGGCGCAGGGAAGGACTGAAATTAAATTTGACAGGATCACACGCGGGCGGGGGACATTTCCTAGAATTTCAGCTCCCTAGCTTTTGAGACCCCCGAGTTAAAAGTTACGGACAAAATACAGTCAGACACATGCAAATACACACAAACACACAAAGACAAGCCCGTGACAATAAACGTTTTATGCAGGTGTTGCACAGCAAAAAACATATAAAAAACGAAAAAATTCAAAACTTCTCATTTTACTACCTACAAGGGAGAAAAGCACTTGGTTTTTGTGCAAGCGACGAGTGAAAGCATAAGCAGATATCTTAAGTGGAGAAGAAATAAGGGCTTATACTTGCTTTTCTGTAGAACCATGGACTCCATACAAAAGTTCCAGCGAATTACTAGTTGGCAAACAAACCAGAGGAACAAGGTCGCCATTCTGCATAATTTTGTTTAATTCGGCACCCCGTGGCGAACCGGAATTCACTTCGGCGCGGAGAAGTTCTCCTGTGCTTAAATGTGTTAATCCGTATTTTTCCACGATTTTCGCACACTGTGTTCCTTTACCAGCACCTGGGCCACCTGTAAAATTGGCCAGCAGTGGTGCCTGTTAAGACAACTGGTTTAACGCTCAACTGTTGCCTTCATCAGAACTTCAAGAACTGTTGCAGTGATCTAGATTAAGTACTACTAGCTTAAATGAAAAGTTAGTAATGAAATACAGCAGTAAGAGCTGCCTAGACTACAGCAGGATGGCCAGGTGCAAAAGCTTAAATTGGTAACAATTTGTTTTGCAGCGACGGTGGAGTAT